GCAAAGAGGTGTCTGTGCACAAATCAAAAACCTTAAGCTCAAGTCAGAAGCTGTGGTCTAATGTCTGAATCTAGACGCATTTTACACTGACTTTCTTATTCACCCCCAAAAAACTGAATCAAATCTCCTAATGTGTGAGATTTATTTTGGGAACGAATCACAGCAGTAGAAGTTCCGTTGTTGTAAGTGGAATTGCCATGTTTTTTACACCTTGTCTCCTAATAACTAGAATATGTTAGGGAAGCAGGAGATAATTAATTTCTCAGCACCGCTCTGGGCTGTCTCATTCCTGGGGCAGTGTAATTACTCTTCACCACCCCGAAATGGTACCTTGCTCACCACAGCATTTCAACTGCTTACTCCTAAAAACATTTTCAAATTTACTGTGCCTTTGCTGGTGAACACCACATATTTTTTTTAAAAAGTTATTTAATTGTCAGGCTGGAATTTAACTTAAAATTGTCATTAAACTATTTAATTAAATTGCATTTCTTTCACAGTGCAATAAAGGTTGCTAATGATGTCTCAAAGCATTTACCAAATAAGTGTCACAATGTCATAACTTTTGATGAATGCCTTGATTTTGCTGTAATTTAGTTATATTTCAACCTGTTAGTGGTTTTTTTATTTTACTTCTGTTTTTTAACTGACATTCTAAATTGAAGAAAAACATGTTTCTATGTTATTTTTCAGACAAAAAGTCATGCATAAAAGCATAAAGTTTTGTCTTTCAGGCATAAAGGCATAAAGTCAAACATCTTTTTTATATGTAACAGTTTATGAATCTATGATAGCATTTATATGCAGAATGATTAAGGAAACCAAGTGTCTAAAACAACTGATTAATGAATAATCTTGGGAGGATTACAACTAGAAGGATTTATTCTACACAGAAGCATAATATATATAAAAGCTCAACTAAAAAATCTCAAATGCACAGGTTCTCTTTGGCTCCACAATCTGTTCCAATCTCCTGTATTCTCCAGACTACTGGGCTACAGGCAGTCTTTTATTGAGTGTGTCTCACTGAGAGGGAAAAAACTGGTTTCTGTAATAACTTTATGGTTAAAAAATGTTGGCAGCAGTTTGTACTGCAGACTAAAAAAGAGACATTTCTGACCACAACTCATAAACCACACTTTATTTACACTGGCTCAGATCCATTATTTGTTCATAGGCTTTCTGTCTCTACAAAATGTGTTCCAATATTTTGGGGGATAAATCTCTGCCAGTCGTTTCAAGACATTCCATTAGCTAGGCAACATGGCCCCCATAAGTAGTCACATAGTTCTGGGGGTACCATTCTGAATGGAGAACAGTTGTAGATAATGCATGCTTGGATGCTTTTAAGAACTTTATAGATTTCCTTTACGACTACAAATGCATGATTGACGAAAAAAGCAACACAAAGGAATCATCTTTGGTGAGAGACTTAATATCTTATTATGGAATAGCAGCACTGTACTTATCTTTATAATTTAATTTCTTTCCCATGCCCAGTGCTGATTATTTTGTTTTATATTGACTTCAAATCAAGACAAATAAAAGACAGTACTCATTGCATCAGAAAATAATCCCCTAAAGTGCTAAAATAGTGAACAGGAAATTATATACAGGTAACCATTTCGTTGGTCTATAAGCTTGATTATGTCTCCACCTTTTTTTGAAAATTGAAGCCCAGATAACTAACGTCCAACATGTTTTGCGGTTTTATACCTAATGACTACATACTTTGATGTTATTACACTTGTATTTCTGAGAAACAGGGCAAACAGTGTACAAGTGCAATTAAAATAACTTGGGAATAAAGATGCTCACACATTTGCATCTGATACATGTGTTGTGTGCACTTTAACTCATACAATTCTATTTTCAATTTGGAAATAAAGGATACCTTGTCCCCTCTCTTTCAGCCCTATTTCTTTTGTCCAGTTTCATTTTACTGGTTTTAGTTTTCTTTTTCACTAAAACATACGTACAGAACAGAGATTAGTATGTTGTCGATAAAGGGTATGTAACACTGCTCTACACACCATCAGTAATGGGATAGAAAACACTGTAAGCAAAAAAAACAACAATGACATGTATTTAACAAGGGAGCTCTATGAAATTGACATCATTTCCTAGTCTTTTTGAACTCTTGTGGTTTAATGGCACATTAAAAAATCAGTGCACTCTTAAAGCATCATGTAATTAGTAGGCCTTTTAAGAAAATTTAAATAAACTATAGTCATAGCACAACAGTATAGTATAAAACCAGACAAATCATTCAGAAAGGAAGCAAATGAATATTAACGCGAAGTGAGGGAAATCAAGTGTTACATATGTGAATCCTCAGCCTCTTAAAAAATGAAACCACAATAAAAAATGTTTTGTTGTGTCTTTGCAAAGCCTCTAGTAACAGGGAAAAAAAGATGTGCTGACCTACTTTCCCCTTCTCTTGCATTCAGCCTTAATATATTCATTATGATTGCCTCTCAGTGTTAAGTTTTCCTTATAATGAAAGGAAACAGTAAGTTGATATACCTATTGAAGCACACAATCTGCACTGCATTTTTTTGGCAAATAGCTTCTGGATGGCATTAAGATGTTCCTGGCAGGCCTTTGTGAATTTTGTGACATGATAAAAGTTTGCATCTGTAGGATTCTTTGTGATTGTCACAGATGCTATTCATTATATTTGTTTGCAATCATAGGATTTGAATACCTTTCTGAAAACGGGGAGCTTTTATGATATTTTCTCTCTTTCTGAGGAATTGCAAATGTTTTAAAATATATTTGCTATTATGAAAATGCTCCTTGTCTCCTCAGTAGGAGGCAGGCAGAATAGCAGTAGTGTAGAGAGGAAAATAAGCAAAATACATACATCAAGACTGTTGGTATTCAACCAGCAAAACTAATTTCAATGTAAATGAAAGAAAAGAAGCACAGCTTTTACCTGCTTTTAAACATGCACTGCTTGGTACAAAATACTTAGTTTCACGGTTTGGCATTGAATGAAAAATTTAAAGTGGAATTTCCTACATATGTTGTAGAAGGAGTACAGCAGTAAGATATTTTCTTCTTTCATTAATGTCTTGTCACTGTGTTTTGGATATTCTTTTAAAAGCTATGTTGAGCCAAAAGAAAATTTCTTTCATGCATAATACAGCATGTATGTCTACAAGCACATATACGTTACATTCTCTATGTACATATGTATACAAATGTATATACCGTAAATGTATATACAGTATGCAGTGAGAGGAAATGTCAATTAACTGACCAGTCAATCATGTAGTACATTCTTATGGTGACTACCATCACACACTGCTCGACAAAGAGATGTGACCTGACAGAATACAGTAATAGAGAAATTGCACTTGTCATCAAGGTTTGGGGAAAAAAATACATGAAGCTGAAATACCCAGATATAAGACTTAAAGAAAAAATTCACACCCTATACAGGCCTGGAGAATGGTCATGACCGCGGAGTCAAAAATGTGAGAGACCCGACAGACAAAAAAAAATAGTCAGGAAAACAGCTGTTTGAGCAGACAGAGAGCCTTTGAGCTCCATTGTGAAGCTTGTTTTTACCAAGGCTTTTTCTTCAGATGCCTGGCAGCCAACTTATGCTCTGAATGTTGCCTTTGAAGAAAACAACCGATCGCTGACAGCTCATCATCTTGAGGAAATCCTGTAGATATAGATGTATTATTTCTTCAGCCTCCTTACATTATCATTGACTGACACCCAAAGCCTTAATGTAAATATGGCAGGACACACACCAGAGCAGTGCCTTGTATACAACTTCTGTCAGGTACATCAGACCCCTCAAGGCTTAAAGCTTTTTACAGTGACATTAAAATCCAGATACCTGACAGCTCACATCACCTTCTGTGTTTGTGACTCTTTTATTATTGATTTATGACCACATCAAAGGAGCCTGCTTTTAACGTTGTATTAAACAACATTTCCCACCAAGCAATATCTTGATTTCTCAGACTTGACAAAATCCAATTCAAAGGCCTAAGAAAACAAGTCAAAGAATGAACTGCTTGCATTTAATCTTGTTTTCAGGACGCATATTATAAGGGTTCTATTTGTGCTTTTCTACAAAGATACACTACATAGATAAATGTGATTAAAGACTTATCTCAGTAGATTTTTTTTATTAGTGTTATTTTAAATCACAGGATGTTCTCCTGAGTCTTTCAGTTATTTGTTTCATCTGTTGAAAAAATAATTATTTTTAAATAATCTTCTATACTGATATAAGATTATGGTATTTATAACGTACTGAGCAGTATGAGATTTTGGGTCATAATAACAAGAGCTGCAAATTGCATTGATAGGGAGGAAATTATTTCACTTTATCAAGGCACGATACTGCACAGGGAATTCTAGTTTCAGAATCCTCTGTTTCCAATCCATTTCCTAACTTTTGCTCACCACATTCGTGATTCAAAACCTACTTAATCCTCTGCTGTCCTAATCTTACCCAAAATATTCTGATTTCTTATATTAACCTAATAGATTGGTGCCCCTCTGCCCCCCCCAAAAAATGTTCTCATTTATTTTCTGTCAGTTTCAGTTAATCCATTATAAACAATAATTAAAAAGAGTAACGCCATCTTCAAAAGAGAAAACAAAGCCTGGTCTGTAGATTAAAATCTCATGAAGAAGTTGAGAAAGAAGCTCTAAGTTATATACTGACCGGGGGATAATTCCTCATTTTACAGCCGACTTTTGCATACAGTATTGTGAATTAAACACAGAGCACATGAAGAATATATTGTCATAAGAAGGTTACGAGCAGTAGGAGGCCCGTGGGACCTTGTAGCCCATTTGTTAATTATTAGCTGATCCAAGAATCTCACCCAGGCAAGAAACAGAGGTTTCACTTTTAACAATTTGGCTGAGTAGCTTTTTACATACTGCATATACACTCATGGCATCTTCTCAGATGTACATATTACAGAACTTGTGTTTATAATAAATACATCAAGAATAACAGTAAGGAAGGTAAATTTGAAACTTTTTTATTTATAAACACATTTGAAAAGCAGCATAATTTAAAAAAATAACTTCAGATAATACCACCTTAAGTGCTAAAGAGATGTACAACTGACTTGGTTTCATGTTTTCATCTTAGTATAATGAATTACAGATTTTACTTGGTTATTTCATAAGCAGATAAATAAAAAAAAACACTTCAGTAAATATAACTAGAAGTCTTTTACATTGCAAACATCGGGAATTTTTAAAAAGAAGATTAGTCACAGACATTCACAAGATATATTTAATTGGTATTAAAAAGAAGTAGCTTTTATCTTTGTATGAAGAAAATGTGTAATATATTAACAAATTACAGCCAACAACTTACATACGTCAACCACAATTTATCATTAAGATTATAGGAGATCAAACTTGCATATCCACACAGAGTATGAAAACATACAGGCATCTGACTTTCTTCAAAACTGTACACATATACGTTATGTGCACAAGTTGTAAACCAGCTGAAAGTCTAACATACAATACAAGGAAAGTATGATAGGAGTTTTACTACAAAATCCTTTTAGCAGTCCACTGACACATAAATGAAAAAAGTAGACAACCAATTTCTAAGTAATGCAACTAAAAACAGACAAGTGTAATTTAATCCATCTGGGCAGATGTGTAAAACCATTCCTTGAACATTCCCTATGACTCCTCTTGATTGATCTTCCTGGGGCTGAAACACCTATTATTAGCAGCAAGTCTAATAGCACCAGGATGGCTGTGCTCATTCTGAAAGCCATTTCTCTGACCATCTTTCAGTGCAGCTGTAGAAAACAGAGAGAGAGAGAGAGAGAGTGAAAACGGTTAATTGGTCTGAATCAATAGCTTTAACTGAAGTGCAAGTCTTTCGTATGTCTTCCTCTCTGACTGTACTATAAAAAGGAAAAAAATAATATGAGATCAAAGCATCAGAGGATATTGAACCATGGCTGTTCTATTGAATTCATGGTTGCTCAGACGTACAGTACATATGTACTATTGCCCGTAAAAAAATACAGAATATGTCTGATTGTTGATCCTTGACAGTTCATTTTGGGAAAAGATTCTTAACATCATAGCAATCTCGGTAAAAAAAAAAAAACAAATAAAGGCTTTCCCTGTTAATTCTGATATTGTCACACTGCAATATTTTTTTTTCCCCAATCAGTGAGTTGCTTTCCCCCAAAAGATGCTGGAAGATGCTTTGTTCCTGTTCACGTCAAGAGTCCATTTCCTGCTGCCAATTTGGTTATTCTAGGAATAATAATCCACACCGAAATGATCTACTGCCTGGGTCTGCCATGATGTACGTGTTGCTCCATCATGCAGGCCCTTGGAATTCATTCATTTGTTGAATCATTAGAGTCAAGAAAGAAACCCCAGAATATATTAGCTGTTCAAATATATGCTGTAGTTATAGGTCATAATGTTATAATTATACCATACAACTATAACAACAAAAACAATGTTTGGCATCATTGCCTTATGGTTCCATACTAGAAGACAGCTTGATCTGATTTGCCAAGGCTGTGTTTGAATTTGAAACAATTTGTAGAGGAAGACAGAAGCTCCTAAGCTAAACTCAAGAGAAAACACTGAGACACAGGCAATGTGATCTCCATGTCTGAGGTATAAACCCTGAGATAAAAGAGAAGAGCCACACATTACAAGTGAATATCTCAGCACACCAACCGTCTGAAGGAAAAGTGCTTTTCTGGGTATGTTATTTAAAAACAGATATTGGTCCAAAGAAAGAAGTACTATGACAGCAATGTAACTACAGTATGTACTAATAGATGCAATAGTACTTCAAAGATCTCCAAGTATATGAGTAACCATCTAGAAACATGGAAACCCAGACTGCAGTGCAGGATTTGCATACTAGAATTTAAATCAGCACAACTAAAGCAGTATTGGGTCAGGACAAATATCACTATCTTTCATGGTATTAAATTATAGTCTTTCCCAGGCTCGTTCTAGTTTGCATTTTCTAGTATTCAACTGTCAATCATTCCTCTAATATCAATTTGGCAACCTTTTATAGATATTAAATATATTCCAGACTTTTACATAAATATAATACATATCTATATATTTTCAGATACCATGATACATTTACCTCTATCAAAAGTGCTAATGACAGAGTTTTTACCCAAGGGTATTCACTCCTCCAGATTCTCCAGGGCCTGGATATATTTTAGATGTGACTGCAACCTGAATAATTCTGCACTTCTGTAGTACTGTACTGGCACCCAGACATCCATTTTTGTTATAATTGCCCTCTCACCCCCACACATATATTCTAGCCACAGTTTTAAGCAGTGCTCTATGGAGAAATAATTTAATTAAAACAAAATTTGCATTGGTTTTCTGTCAGATTATTCTCTCCTGCTTTAAATATGTTTATCTGCTAGGAAACATCAAAGAACACTTAACTCTTAGGGGATGAGAAACAACTGGGTCTAACTTGGTCTAGTTCCATTTGTTGGACACAATGAAACAATGGATTTTTATTTAACAGCAATTTGAAAGGGGTGAATGTCTTCTCAGGGTGACTCTGGAAATAATTAAAATGACACCGAAAAGACAAATCACATCATTAAAAGGTCACTGTGTACAGTACTGTAGAGCTGTTCAATTTACACAAGTTCCTTTTTTGTTTGTTAAAGTTCAGGGACATCACTCTTAAAGTCCCTTCTCAACCGAGAATGGCCTGCTCTCCAATGCTTTAAAACTGTCATCTGCAGAGGAAGCATTCTCTCTCTTCCAATATCTGCACGTAATGAACAAGACAATGCGTTTCTGCTTCTCTTTACTGAAAAATGTCCAAGTACACCATATAACATAATGTACATTTCAGTTTTATTTTATACTCTATTTATCAAACTATAACATATAAAAATATGATGTGGTGTCATTGGCTGAGACCTTTTCCCACACCGCAGTTTTGTGTAACTCATTAAATCTGCAGTTTGAGTGCTTTTAGTCATTCCTAACCATTTTAAAATGGTTTACTTCATAAACTAATAGATGTGATGTAGTCATCAAAAATGACATTTTTATTTTTTATCTTGGTTGTTTTTTAAAGGCCTACAGTCAGTTCTATTGAAGGAGGTAAAAAAAAGGCAAAAAGCTGCATTAGTGGTTGCATGATGAAAATGCGGTTGAAGATGAGGATGCACTGGCAACCCGAACTGTTTTTCGAAAAGGCATATTGTTCTAGGTGGAACAGGTGGGCATGCTACTTCCTGTATGAAAGCAGCTTATCTCAAATGCAGGGCCTTTCTGAACGTTTCCTGCTTGACAGGTCCCACCAGAGGCAGGTCTGACTAGTCAATGCAGGAGACCAGACTTCCAAAGCAACTCCCAACAGGTGTGGGTGTTCTTCTGCTCCGCTGGACACTGCCATCTCGGATTTCAAGGCTGATTTTCAAATAACATCACACACATGCAACTTCCCCGTTCTATAGCATCGCTTCGGTCAACTTCCAGTTTCCATGGACAGAACCTCTCATTTCTTTCTCTCTTTTTTAACTACTTTTTTGCGCCTGAGGTCAAAAAGTCCCTCTTTAGACAGCAGCAAAAAAAAGCAAAAACTTTTGTCATCTCCTATACCTCGTTGTTTTCTGTAACTCTTTCATGGTAAAACTTACAAACAATTTACTTAGGTAAATCATAACTGTGCTTTATTATGGGTGTTATGAAATTTGTCTAGAAATTTAAAAAAATAGATGCTTGTTTTTGTGCTTCTCAAACGAGGGGCATTCTCACTGTGAACGTATGTGAGACATTTTAATGTGAAGGGAATGGGCAAAGCGCCTTGGTTTATTTCACATTCCTGTTGAAGAAAAGATCCCCTTTGTGTCTCTGGATATATTCTGCTGCTCAAACACATGACCTTTAACAATACTGGGATTAACAAAGGTGACAGCGAGATTATAACGCTTGGATTTATGCATATATTTCAGCCTTTATCGGCAAGGGCTTGTCAGTTTTGCAGATGTGAAGTATACTAACTAAATTAACGTCGGGACTGAGCACTCTTTAAACTGCACAATTATACTACATTTAGTGTTGTTTCCAATACTATACTAGACTACTATTTCACAATTTACATAACAGCTGTTAAGTTTATCGACATGCAATTGAACATTAAAAGGCACTCAAAGTGAGAGTTTAAAAACGAGCGGTAAGTAGAAATTACTCAACTGTGAAATTGTCAGCTGTAAATTCATTTGTTGGGGTCTGTCGAATTTGTTTCGCTAGTAATGGGTTTTATGACATACAGTACGATTAACAAAGGCAGTCCAGTATCATAAGCCACTACTACACGCAGTTAGGTAATAAGTCTTGAGACTTATGTGTTGATGGCACGTATTCTTCAGTTCTCGTTCTTATACAAAGGCCTAAATGTAAGATATGCTTTTAGCACCTATTTCAAATAATCAAACAGCTGCTCTGACGTAAGAAAAATAAAAAAACGATTTCTATTTGTAGTCTCCTATAAGTGATTAACCCAAGGTGACCAAAAGAAATAGCTTTTGTAATGTTTTGCTTTGTCGCCTACGAATAATATCTAGGTTTTACACTGTCGGTTCAAAACTGTGATCGTTACAGCTTTATCATCTAGAAGAATAAACCTAACCTCTGGTGCCGTGAGAGTTTTAAGGAAATGGCATCTTAAACCGTTTCTGAACCTGCACGCCATTTTTCCATTTTGCTATATTGGACAGTCTCTCAAAAGAGATTAAATGAGACGAATGTCATTTTGCCTGCATAAAAGATATAATAGGTTTCTTGTATACCCTACATTTCAGCAACGCCTTTTTCTGGGTTAATTTTTAAAAACAACAACGAATAACCACCTACATCAGAGAAGAAGGCTTGAAAATGAAATACAAGTGTGTGGTGTCTGCGGAATGCTCAATACAGATAAACTTGAAAACTTGAACGTTTAAAAAATGTTTTCGGATTCGTCGGTTACCGAAAACATGTTTTTTTTTTTAAAAAATTGCTGTTGACTCACTTCTGTGGGTTTAGAAAAAAGGTGAAAGGCACTTGCAAGTCCTTACGATTAAGGCTGTGGGTCGTCTTTCATTTAATAACGCCATTTCTTTGTGTTTCTACCTTTTTTAAGAGGCTTTGTGGGTGCGCGGCTCAATAGAATTTATTCCACTGGAATGTTTAAGATCAAGCAATATGATATCCTACCGCAAGAAAAAAAAATATTTGAAAACATTTCTAAAAAGAAACCCTCTTCCGAGAATAATAAAGTCCCTTTTTTACGATTATGGAACGTCAGCCTCCACCAATTTCTTCGAGAGTTTCTGAACGTGTTTTCCTCCCTATAAAGAAGGAGGAAAAAAAAACATTTTGCCACTTCAGCAGAAACGTAATGAGTATCAGTATGATTTCACAATTATTGAGATCAGTGAAACTATCTTTTTCACGGCTTGGGTGCAATGAGCTTTAAAATATTGCGATGATTAATATATGAACACAGTGACATTTTATATTGTAAACGGATAAAATAAACTGTACGTTGAGGGGAACGGAGTTTATTTCTTCAAAGAAACATTGGCGTTGGTATTACAGAAACTACAGTCTGTAACATTTACACACTCCGCTGGTTTACTGAAATCTGGCTTTTCTTACCAAACTGCGAGAAGGACCACAAGGGTTATGAGCAAGCTAAACAGGAGCTACAGCCACCTGTCTCTGGCTTCTCGTGAGTAAGGATTTACCTCTGAAAAGATCTATGTCCCCAGTAACTATAATGTACATT